TGTTCTTTATTGTGCTTATTCTATTTTGTAAATTGTGCTTATTGTGTTTCTATCTTCTATTGTGATATAACAAAAAAGGGGAGAGATATTGAGAAAATTTGCATTTTCAAAAAAGAATGATTGATCTTGTAGCTTGCCTCAAGTTTTAAACCTTGCAGTTATTAAGAGGGAGTTTTCGAATCTTTTAAAATATTTCAACCCTTCTCAAAGTTTTAAAAACTTAACATTTCAAATCAAAATACTTCATGATTAAACTTAGGGGGAATGATTTTTTACAAGCAAATTTTGGTCAAAGTTTTGTCATATCAAAAAGGGGGAGATTGTTAGCTTTATTAGCATTAAAATGATTATAGTTTTCAAATGACAAAAGTGATCAAAATTGCTTTAATGATCTTTGAACTTGTTTTAGTGATCCTTGAACTTGTTTGAATGATTTTTGAAGTTGTTTAAATAAGTTTTTGAACTTGTTTGAATAGTTTTTAAACTTTTTTAAATAAGCTTTGAAGTACCTAAATGTTTCCATGTGAAAAGTTTCAAAATTATTTGAATGAGTTTTGAAATTGCTTTAATGATTTTTGAACTTGTTTGAATAATTTTTTAAAACTTGTCTAAACTAGTTTTAAATGTCCGTTGCATTCAATTTTGAAATGTCCAAGTATTTGGCATCAAATTGGGTTTTAAAAGAAGAATTTTCTATGTTTTAATCTTTAAGTATCGATACTTTGGTCAAAAGTATCGATACATTTTAAATAGAATGGTTCTGCCCAAAATATATGGATGCATTCCCAAATGTATTGATACATTTCAAAATGTATCGATACATTCCCAAATGTAAGATATAGTTCAAAATGTATCGATGCATTCCAAAATGTATTGATACATTTGATCCAAAACTAGCCGTTACACACGAAAAGAAAAGGAAAAACGACTATTTTGTTCACCAAATCTTCTCTAACAGCACCAAAGCTTCTCTAACTATAAAAAGGACTTCTCCAACACATTTACAAGGTTAGAAGAGTGGAGGAAAACATCATTTGAATAAGAATCAAACCTTATAAAGAAAAAGAGAGAAAAACTAAGCTAGAGAAAGCAAATTCAATTCTTCCACCAAGTTTTTAAGCTTTCTTGTGCTATAATTCCTAGGTGTCTTCATTCCTACCTTTTGTAATAATTTTTATACTCATCATACTCTGCCTACATTGTACTTAGCAAAACTCACTTTTTAGAGGTATCATTTCTATTCAAAAATGTAAGAAAGAAACAGTTGTACTTTAGCCTTTGAAAGGCATTGTGAAGGTTGTGCTTGATTCATAAAAGCCATTGCATTGAGAGGTTGTGCTTGATACTTTGAAAGGAATTGTAAAAGTTATGTTTGAACCTTAAAAAGTATGTTTCATAGTGGATTTGAAATTCCTTAGTGAGCTAAGAGAGAGGACGTAGGCAAAGAGGGCAACCCTTTATAAAAATATTGTGTCTTTTGTCTTTATTTTTCACTCCTTGAATTTATGCATTTACATTAAAGAATTTATCAAATTTGTTATTAACTTGTTTATTCTTTAATTTACTCTTCAAACTATTATTGACACACTTTGATAAAAAAACAAATTTATGAAATTATTTTTAGCTTAGCTTGATTTGAAGCTTATGAAAATTTTACACTAGTGCATTTTGCCTTAAAGAGTTTGAAAATTTATTTTCAACTTGTTTCGTCAATATTTTGCTTAAATTACTTTTGGCATGTTTCAAAGTGAAAACAAATTTGGGAAACTTATTTTCAAACTTGCCTTCATATAAAGTTTAAATTTATTGAAAAGAATTTTTAAAAATTCAATTCACCCACTTCTTGGATTTTTTTTATTATTATAAAGCTAACACTTCTAACAGATAGGTGCGACTAGTTTCCACTACCTTGCCTAGAACGACGTCATTTGCAAGGAATGTCAAGGGTGACAAAGGTAAAGGTATAGCCTCATCGTCTCGAGGTGGACTGGCTGCCACATCCCATTTTGTTGTGGAATATGACTATCATATGACACCAAACAAGTATAGCCCGCTAGGCCCAAACAAGCCTTTTTACATCAATCATCATAACTTGGCCCATTACCCATAATCATCATATTTGAAGCATACAATATTAGACTCATGCATACATCCAAAGGCAATTATACATAGTTATGGAACTTCTAAACATAAGCTGTGCAAGTGCTTTCATTCATAATAAACTTAGAGTTAACAACTCATACATCATGTCATAGTCATTTCTCAACACCCTCAAGTGTTCATATAAGCTATTGAGCCACATTTGTACATTAATCCATAACATTCATAGGAATATGCCAAGCATTGGCTACATAATCATAAACATGTTCAATATCCATAAACATAAACATAAAGTCAACGCTGACTCGTCAACGGAACATGACCTGACTCTCTTTGGGCATCAAGTGGCTACTAAACACCTACCAAAGAAGGATGAATGGAACATGACTCCGTGACTCAGGAGTTGAATGCTATCATTGATTTGTAAACAAAAATAATTAGAAAAAATAATGTGTCAGTCATAAAGACTTTATGAATGGATACGGGGAAGGGGACAAACCAAATGGGAGAGTTATTTCCACAAATTACATCATTAATGTAAATATGAATTTGAGATAAACATACTTAATTTCAAATTTCTCAAAAAATAGAGTTGGCATAAACGAGTCTCATTTTCATAGTGAAAGTAACATTTCATAAACATATAGTTCAATAAATAAGCAAAACATTAGTGAAAAACCCTATAGGAAAAGTAAGGAAGTTGATGTTTTGGTGTTCCACATTTAGGCTCATGAGTGGCACATCAGCCTTACATGGAACGTCACCACTATGTAGTGGAATTTTGCTACACCATGTGTGGGGGTCGCTCTACTTATATCTCTGTTCATTTGCACCACGTGTGGAATGTCACCTCACATCATGTGGAGCATTATGATCATGATACTACGTACAATTCACCACACGTGGAATGTTATCGTACATTGTGTAGAGTCTATCATCACCATACTAGACACAATTCACCACGTGTGGAATGTAACCTCAGACTGTATGAAAGCTCTCGGAAACAATCACATACAAAGTATTAACTCATATCTCAATCTATCATTAATACATAATCAAAGTAGACTCATGCTATACCTTTAAATCTCTTATGGGGTATGTGGAAACTACATCATATATTATCTCGATGAGCCATGATTCACATATTCTAATTTTCCTCGTATAATCATATCATAAGCTTAAGGATAGGAACATCTACCTCAACCAAAACATTCATTTCCCTTGCTTTTCCATAACAATAATGTGGGTTCTAGTTATCCACAAATTCTATTCTTCCAAAAGTGCTCAATCATTATACTTATCATCAAGTATAAAGGTGGAAACTTACATCCACTTTTCATCCATATGACTATGTACATTTCTCATTTCATAACGGAATCAAAAGTTTTTTAAGTAAAACATTTGAAACAGTTTGTCCCCTCTTATTGAAAACTAATACATAATAATGATATTTACATATATAGTTATATTCTAAAACCTTTTGAATACATTTGGATAAAAATTCATTTGATTTAATTTTTGTAAATATAGTATTCAAATCATGCAAGCTAAACAACACAATAAAACATGCTTGGCTTTATTGTATTAAAATACTTAAAAGGGTGTATCCATTCACCTTCAAAATGTCAACCTTTATCAACAAGCAAGACTTTACTATAGCAAAGTTTTTGGAATTTTGGCAGCACCTAAAGATTTAAACAATTAATACAATCATTGTTCGGACTATGAATCACATAATTACCTTTTTAAACCTTTTCGACACTAACCAAGTTCATTTAAAACTAGTTTTCTAACTTAAACCCACTGTTACTTAACATAATAAATGCTTAGAAACCCATAAATCCTTCATCTTTATCTTAGGCGAGCCTTATGATAAGGAAAATCACAAAATCTTTGAGTTGTAGTGTTCAACAGAAAATCTAGATATAAAAATAATATTTTTAGTGTTGAAAAATTCATAAATCAGGATTTAAAAGTTAAAAGATGTCACATTTGTTTCAACTCTTGAGAAGAATTTCTCTTGTGTGGTTCAGTTGGAGATTAAGTGAAGAAGAAGAGGACAATAAGTTGTCCACTTTACTAGCACAAAGGCGTGGTTAAAAAGCTTTCTCTTTGAAAAAGTCTCCATTGCAGTCATGTGTGCATCTATTGGAGGTCAAACGCTTGGGTGACTCAGGTTCTTCACTTCCTTTCGATGTTCATAGGTTGAATCAAAGGAGAAGGAAACCATCGTGATTCTCACATCACTTGGCAAAGGAAGACTAAAATCGATTTTTTTAAATGAACTTAAGTCAAGACCTCATTAAAAAGTATAAATTAACAAGAGCAATCACATATAAACAAAAGAAAAATTGATGATGACTCAACTTTCACGTTAAACGGTTAAGTTTATGCACTTACACGTTATGACACCCTACTTGTTAATGAGATTAGAATTAAGATTCCTCAAAATTAATAGATAGCACACCCGTTGACAACCCTCGCTTTTCCCTCTAGCTTTGACCATTTATGCATGGCTTGTGAGATACTAGTTAAAATGGAAACATAGGCAAATACCTTGAGGACAGAAGGAGCAGAAGTAAACTTGACTGGAGCGTTTAGTTACTTGTGTAAATTGTGATGGTCCCACAAAACTAAGCCTTCTTCAATCGTTCAGCTTTCTTCTGCAGTCTTCTCTCCCTTTCATTGCGCCCTGCAGGGGCTGCAGCCCAAGGCATCACTCTGCTAAACCTGTCAAGCCAACTCCCCGAAAAGACTTCACCTCTTCCACCGCTTCATTAGTCATTGCGCTGCCGCTGCTGCTACCCATGTTCCGTATTACGTGGTCCAGCCCATTCCAAATCAACAAAGACGCAACTATGTTCGAAATAAAATAATAGATAAATAAACAAACCTTCTATGCATAAAACATCATCACAACCCTTATCGTTTTAACTAGTGAAGACAAGGCCATGTTTCATCTACTTTCTGTGTTCATCTTGTTTCTTTTCATATACAACTCTAATTCTTTAAATACTTTCATAGCTCTCCTAGATCCTCTCTCGAAACCCTCACCTTTCCTCTCTCAAAAACTTTGGTACTCTTCAATCATTTCTTCTTCGCCTGCTTCTTCTTCTTCTATCATTCATGTTTATAGTGCTCCAATCCATGGCTTCTCTGCAACCCTCACACCTGACCAAGTTAAAAGCATCCGGAAGCTCCCTGGAGTTCTCTCCCTGCTCCCTGACAAAGTCTTGCAACTCCACACCACACGTTCACCATCATTTCTTGGCCTGGAAACCCCAAATCCTTGCATGATAAATACTTCAGAATCCAATTCGATTATTGGGTTTATCGACACTGGTATTTGGCCCGAACACCCGAGTTTCTCTGACCATAACCTTGGACCAATACCAGTTCACTGGAAAGGCCAATGTGAAAGTGGCTTCAGATTCAATCATACAAATTGTAACCTTAAAATCATAGGTGCCCGTTTCTTCTCCGGTGGATATGATGCTGGTTTGGCCAAATGGGTAAACCCGTTAAGGAATTTCGGTCACCAAGAGACTGTGATGGCACGGCACGCATGTCGCATCCATTGCTGCAGGGTCTCCTGTACCAGGTCCGGGTTTTTTGGTTTTGCGTTTGGGTGGCCCGTGGCATGGCACCGAGAGCAAGAATTGCAGTGTACAAGGTTTGTTGGGCTTCAGGTTGTTTGTTATCCGATGTTTGTAAGGCTTTCGAAAGTGCATAACGGATGGTGTTGATATCATATCACTTTCACTTGGCTCATCTCGTTTGCCGTTTTACCTGGATTTATTGTCCATCATGTCGTTTCGGGCATTTTCTCACGGTATTTTCATAGCTGCGTCAGCCGGAAACGAGGGACCCACATTGGCAACTGTGGCTAACGAGCCACCGTGGATCACCACTGTCGGTGCCGGAACGGTTGACCGTGATTTCCCAGCTACCATACATCTCAAGAACGAGGTATCAGTTCTCGGTACATCCATCACCTTGATGCAGGATGATATATTGACCCGAAAATATTACTTGCTCCACTTTGCTGCCAAATTCAATTCTTCGTCTGGATTCAATTTCTCTCGCCAATTAATCGAGGGTAAAATTGTGTATTACCGGACAGAAGGATACGTAGCAAGATGTCACTTGGGGCTGTGCTTAAAAGAGCTAGGGCAATAGCCATGATACTTTCTCACGGAAATATTGATCCCGATGGAATAGTTTCGGAGCCCCATGTAATCCCAACTATTAGCATCGGGGCTTTAGAAGGCAAGGTAATTGAGGACTATATTTTACATGATGAAAACCCAATGGCTAAAATATCATCACAAGGAACAATTTCAATGCATGCAAAGCCAGCTCCAATTGTTGCCTCTTTTTCATCAAGAGGTCCTAATTCTCTTGTACCTGGAATTCTAAAACCTGATATTCTAGCTCCAGGTGTGAATATTTTGGCAGCGTGGACGGATGCGATTGGGCCATCTGGCATGGCATTGGATTTTCGGCGGTCAAGCTTTAACATTATGTCTGGGACGTCGATGGCCTGTCCGCACGTTTCAGGTGCCGCGGCGTTGATCAAATCATCCCACCCGGATTGGGGTCCAAATGAGATAAAGTCAGCCTTAATGACTACATCAACTGTCCATAAACATTATAATTACAATAGAAATAAGCCATGGTCTCCAATTTCGGATGAGTCTACAGGCAATGCTGCTACCCCATTTGACATTGGATCAGGGCATATGCTACCTATAAAAGCAATGGACCCCGGTTTAGTTTTTGGTTTGGAACACCAGGATTATGTTAATTTCTTATGTGAATTGAACTACACAAAGAAACAATTACAAATTGTTACAGGAAAAAAATCCCATTGCTCGAATGATAGTACATGGCAGTTGAATTATCCAACTGTAACAGTCGAGGCAGAAAAGGTTTGGCATGGGGCAGTAGTAGTAGCTAGGAAAATGACGAATGCAAATAAAGGGTCCAGTGAGTACAAGGCTAAGGTTGTCGGTCCGAAAGGGTATTATAAGGTGGATGTGAAGCCGAAGAGGCTGAAATTTTCTGGTATCTCAGATCAGAGCTTGAGTTTTAGAATAGTTTTAGAGAAAGAAAATAATATGCACGAGAGGAAGAAATTGTGGTTTGGGGCGTTAATTTGGAGCGAGAAACGGGGAAAGCATAAGGTAAAGTGTCCTATAATGATTTTTCTGCCAAAGAGTACTCAAGTGGATGAAGAAATTAAAGTAGTTTGCTAAGTAGATGGAGTAGTAGTTATGGGCTGCAATCATTGGACCACAGCTCTAGTGCTCCAGGTAGGGCTATTCTGTCTTCATCAAGGTTCTAGAGGATGTAATGAGTTTGTATTTGATTGCCTCTGCAGTTGTCTGCAAATATCTTTTGTTGGTACAATTTGAAATTAGCTACGCCTGTATATATTTTTTTATTAATCATGGTCCCTTTTAAGGTTTTATATGAATTTTCATGGGTCCGTATTCAAGAAAAAAAAAAAAAAAAACCACCCAAATGCCTCTACTTCCAATAATGTGATTTTTCCATCAGATGAAAGCATATTCAATTTCCTAGTGGGAGGGGCTTACATCAACATTCAGGAAAAACTCCTTTAGCGAGAGCAGCTTGCATTTTATTGTAAACAATATGAGCGGAGCTAATAGACAAAAAAGTGGTTTTAAATAGTTCTTGTCATTTTTTGGCTGAAAAAGAAAAGTTCATATCATTAAAATTAATTGTAAATTATTATAAACTCTGGATTATCAACGAGTATAGGGTTTATGATTGTTTACATCATGAACACATCATAAATGGTCGAGATTCCAGCGTTCTACAATTGAAGGGAAAAAAACTGAGATTAAAAAATGAATACAAAGTAAAACGTAAATACTAAAAAATAAATACAAATGCAAAATGAAAATAATTAAAAGTAATTAGTGGAAACATCAACCAAACCAAATCTAATTCTACTTTATAAGTGTTTTCCTATTACTCTTGCTTAATAAAATCATTTATTTTGTGAGTAAAGACCAAAAATATATATAATTTTGCATCCAAACATATTTTACTCAAAGGTAATTGTATATGTCTCCTAGGCGAAGAGTTTGATTTGAGTTTATCCTGTCTAAACTTAATAAAATGAAAATATTCTCAGTTAATCTCGTATTTTCTTACTAGACAAGGAAAAAAGGCAAATTTTTGCCATACTCTTTTCCTCCCATCCCGATTCTTTTTTTTTTGTCTAAAACATTTGTCAAGCTTGTAAATAATAAAACTGATAAATTTTATATTAATTAATTTATATTAATCCAAGGTTCTTCGTAGTTGAATTTTAGAAAATAAAGTGTACTTGATTTTTGATACATTATTTGACAACCAAAGCAATATTGACCAAATTAATTGTTGGAATTCAATGCATTAGAATCTTCCTCCTCTATTTTCTAATAACTCTCCAATAAATGAGATTCTCAATGTTTTATGTAGATAAGAAAAGAGACCTAGTTTACCTTTATATAGTGAATCCCTAATCCTTCTTATCATAGAATTTAGAATTTCTTACACAAGCATATACTCTTATGTCCACATTTAATATTGGAGTCTAGTTTACTTTACTAGATTATATTATGGACTATAATATTGTAATTATATATAAACCAAATAAGCTTAGCTCGTTTTTTTATAAAAAGAAAAAAATTAAATGTTTTCTAATAACTCTCCAAATGAATGAGATTCTTAATGTTTTATGTAGATAAGAGAAGAGACATAGTCTACCTTTATTTAATTAATCCCTAGTCCAAACCATCATAGGATTTAGAGTTTCTTACACAAGCCTATACTGTTATGTCTACATGTTTAATATTTGAGTCTAGTTTACTTTGCTAGATTATATTATGGACTATAATATTGTCATTTTATCAAAACTAAATAAGCTTAGCCTTCATATATATATATATATATATATAAGCAAAATAAATAAAATAATGTAAGTCTACACTTTATTATTTGAGAAAATCTAATAATCTCCCTCTGGAATGACATTATTTATATTCAAATTTCTGAAACACATTCTCTAAAAAATGAATGCTTAGGAACTACTTTGCAAATGTTCCTTAAAAATTTGAGTATTTTATGCATATATTGAACACCAATTTAAATGCTCATACTTATTTAATTCCGTGAATACTTGAGTATTAGATAAACATGTTGAATATCTACTTAAATACTCATTTATTCTAGGCTCATGATTTCTCTCTTAACAATTGGCGTTTTAGCAATTGGAAACATTAGTTTCATGATTTTCTAAGAAAGAGTAAGATTATGCTTAAACTGATCATCTCCTTTATCCCTTTTCCTTTTGCATCATGTTTGAATTAGCCTTGTTTTACTTTTAACCCCTCTTTTGATAATGTCAAAAAAAGGGAGAAAGAAGAAATAACTGTTGTGTTTGCTATTGTGTTTGATGAAAAAAACTACTATACTTGAATGCTTAATTTTCTTTAAATCTAGATGCACTCATTAAGGGAGAGTTTTAAAAATTCTTTTTAATGATGACAAAAAAAGAGAGAAGGAAGACTAAGTTAAATAAAGTTTGATAGGTCTTTATGTTTATTTTATGTGTGTGATGCTTAGTTATGGTTTAGTTGTATATTATGTGCTAGTTATTATGGATATTAAAGATATCTTGCTTAGCTACTGTGGATATTGTATATCTTGTTTAGATACGATGGATATTATGAATATTTTATTGCAAATCTTTAAAGAAAACTAGATGCATTAACTAAATAGGAGCAATCCTCATTATGCATAAAGATTTAAAGGATTCATATTGAACATAGACATTACGTTTTTAATCTAGGAGAGTTTTATCATCATCAAAAAAGAGGAGAATGTAGAATCCATATGTTTTTTATGATAACAAAACATTTTTTATTTATTGATGTCTAATTATATTTTTTGAATGTGCAAGAAAAAGCTTAAATTTCTTAACATATATATTGTTTGAAAGTAAGTCAAGATGCCTATTCAGTTGCAAGATGGGTTAACTAGTTAAACAAGCAGAGAAGAAAAAGCTTTAATGAAGACAGATTAGTCTTAACTGCTTAGCACAAATCCTTAATCAATTAAAGTAATGATGGCCGCTACACTGAGGATAGACAGAAAGGTCTTAACTGATTAACACAATGCTTAATCAATTAAGAAGGTATTGGACGCAAAACAAAATATTATTAATTGGTTAACCAAAGGTGTTAATCGATTAAGGGACAAACTTGAGGTACCTAAAAAGTGCCAAAATTCAAATTTAAAATGAAGTTGATCATTGGAAAGCACCAAATGAAGGAATTCAAATTTGAAGATAATTTAATGGAATAATGTTTATTTCACCCAATTAAAGTTAAAGAAAGGGAAACCTCAATTAGTTAAAGGAAAGACTAACCAATTAATGGAAAATTACTAACTACAGAAGTTTGAAAATGGAATGTTCTTAATCAGTTAAAGCCACCTTTAATTGGTTAACACAGTGAAGCAGACTACCAAATAGAAAAGCTTTAATCAGTTAAAAAGTCACTCCAAGAATTTGGAAAGAATCACTAGAAGACACAATAATAGCTATTTCTGACCCAAAACTATCTTTAATGGCTAGAAATTGTCCTCCAAGTATAAATAAAGGTTCAAATGATCAGAGATGAGTAAGAGAATTTACCAAGAGTGATTTTGAGTTTAGAAGACCAAAAACCTTCTTTTTGCACTTGTATCTCACTCATATTTTTTGTAAAATTGTTTGAGCTGAATTTTATACATCTTAGATTAGCTAAGTGATCAATTGTACTTCATCTCTTCTTTATTTCTTATTACTTAGAGTCTACGGGGCACTCTAAAGTGTAGACTAAGCCTAGAAGTCTTAGGGATTCTTGTAAAAGTTTAAAGCTTGGGTTAAAAGCTCATTTTGTAAAAGCTTGGTGGAAGATGTTAATTCCACTAGTTTAGTGAAGTTGGGTTGCAAATCTTTAATTGAGAGATTATGGTAGCAGATATAGGTCAAGGGAACCAAACCACTATAAATATTTATGTTTTGTCGACTTCTCCCTACCTTCTCCTTACTTGGTGCCTTTTAACTTCAACAAGTTTTAACCCTTCCATTTCAAAATTATACAAAAAGTTTTTCAAGCTCAAGAGCTGCTTCAAAATATTTTTAAATGTTATTCACCCCCTTCTAGTACTCTATTTGGACCAACAAACCTTTCTTTACCTTTTCAAGGATCAAACAAAACCATTACAACACTACTTTTTAAAGGTTCAAGTACATGGAGGAAGAGTTTGGTAAAGCTAAGAAATTATTACAAAAGATATGAGTGAAAGCACTAAGAATTTGAAGCATGAAGATAGCTCACAAGCTTATTAGAAGAATAGGAATGGCTTGCTCTAGCTTCGGTTTTCTCTTTTTTTCCTCTTCTTTTTAACTTCAGTTGATTCTTGATCAAATGATGTTTTTCTCTTCTCTTCCCTTACTCAAAATGTGTTGAAGTCCTTTTTATACTTAGAAAAAGTTTCTAGCTGTTTGGGATGATTTGATGGGAGAACTAGCAATTTTTCTTATCTTTTTTATGTATAACGACTACTTTTGGAGCTTAGAAATAGACCTTTTCTTCTCCAAAAATTGATTCTTTTTAGGTATGAAGCTTTTTATTGTAAAAAATCAATTAATGCATTCTTGAGAAGTTGATTCTTTGCGTCTCTAGAGCCCTCTATTTTGAAGAATTAATCAGTGCATTCTTGAGAAATCAATTCTTTGTCTTTGGAGCTTTTTATTTTATAGGATTCAATCCTTACATTCTTAAGCCATTGATTCTTCTTCATCCTATATTTTGAAAATTGATCTTTCACTCCTCTAGAAATCGATTTTTCTTGCACTTTGGGCATTAAATTCAAATTTTAAATTTCCTCTTACCCACTCCCTGTTGATTCATTCTCCAAGCTTTTCTTATTCTTCAAGTTTTTTATTTTTGTCTTGCAAATTCAAAGGAATCAATCACTTGATGCTTGAGAAGTCGATTCTTGTTCTTCTAATGGCTTTCTTATCTTCAAGAATTGATGTTTTATTTTCTAACAATTAATTTTTCTTGCTTGAACTTGAGATTCAAAGTATATACAAGATTTTTCCTTTCATAAAACAACTTCAATCCCAAGTTCAAATATCAATCAAGTAAGGAAACATTAAGCACATCA